GCGGCCCCGGCGCGGGCCCCCGCGCCCTTCACGCTGCCACTCCGAGTGGCTGCGGCCACCAGCCGCGGGGCAGCGTCCACTTCGGGGCCGCGGACTTCCGAAGGCCCCCTTGCTGAGCCTCCAGCCAACGGCCTGGCGCTCGCTCTGGAACCCGCGGGGGGCTCCGTCAACTTCTTGGCCATGGTGGACAACCTGCAGGGAGACTCTGGCCGCGGCTACTACCTGGAGATGCTGATCGGGACGCCCCCACAGAAGGTAGGTTGATGGGGCCCCGGACCCTGCGCTGAGACCGGCACCTCAGCCCCGCCACCAACCAGCCCGCCTGGCTACGGCCGTGGGCATTTCAGGGGCGCCCAGCGAGACTCCTCGAGCAGAGCATCGCAGCCCCGAAGCTGCAGCTGTCCGGCTCCGTGAGGAGCAGGTCCTGGGACGCCAGGGGCTCTGTTGGTGCGGACAGACACTGGCACCTGCCAGGGAGGGAGGTGCGCTGGCCCTGCCCGCGGGGAGGGCTTGGTGAGTGAGTCCCAACTTGCCGGCCCCTGTGGCAGGTAGATCTGCCACCTGCCTGCCCCTGGCCTGCCGAGGAGGGGCTGGGGCTTCCTTTCTGCCGGACTCTCCCTGCGGTGAGATGTGGGGCTGGAGCCCGGGGCTACCTTGCGCTGAGTCGCCCCACACCCCATGCCGTCTCACTGCAAGAGTCCAGGGCCAGACTCGGGCAGGTCCCTGGGAGGCGGCCAGGCTGAGCCAGCCCGGCCGCCTGTCCCACGCTGCTCTCCCCAGCCGCGCGCTCCCCCGCGGGGCTCCGCCAGCCGGCTGTGGCTTCCTGCTGCCCAGCCGCCCCCAGCGCCCGCAGGAAGCATTCCATGCCCATTCCATGCCCACAGCTCCTGGGGAAATCTGGGCCGAGCTAGGCTGCCAGAGGCCCGGCGTCTGCCTTTTTCCTCCCATTCTCAGTTCACTTATTGGCACAATTTGTAGCAAGAAATGAATGTCGCCCAGCTGCGCAGTCCTAAGGGAAAAAAGCAACACCCCGGGAGTGGCTGGGCGCCCTCTTCTCTTCTCACAGGACCCAGCCGGAGCCCCGCTGTGCTCGGGCTCAGGCTGTTCTTGCCCATTGACTACACTGACTGAAGATACTTGAATTTTGTTTAAGATTTATTTATTTGTGCATACAGAACTGGGTACAGGCCAGAGGTGCAGGGGCGGCGAGAGGCTTCCCCAGAGGCAGAGCGGGGAGCAGAACAGGCAGATCGAGGAAGTACGGTGCTGAGGGGAGCAGCGGGCGGGTCAGGAGAGGTCTGCCACGCCCTGGGGTCACCTCCGGGGCGGGCGGGATCGAACTCATGCGGAAATGGCTTTGGCTTCTTAGTGCTGCGCTCTGACCCGCTGTGCCCCAGGGAGGGCCCACTATCTGGAATTTTTAAGGTACAAAGAGTAACACCAAGAGGCACAGAGTAATGTGAAATAAGAAAAAAAATTTTTTTAAAGATTTATTTATTTATTTGTACAGAACTGCCACGCCCTGTGGTCACCTCTGGGGCGGGGATCGAACTCATGCGGAAGTGGCTTTCGCTTCTCAGTGCTGCGCTTTACCCGCTGCGCCACCGGGGAGGGCCCCTTGTATTTTTAACATTATCGTTTGGGTTTTAATTAAGCTGTGATTCCTCCAGAAATAGAACATACTCATGACTTTGGTGTAAATCTAATTAAATTATTCAAGACTTTCTTAAGAGGAAAGATATGTCTGCTAATTCCTTTTTTAAAAAAGGTCCTGCCAAGTAACTTCTACAGTTGTTTAATTAGTTAAAAAAAAAAAAAAAAAAAAAAAACACCACAAGCTTTAGGCTACGTCCTGCTCACAACCTGGGTCTAGTTGTGGCCATCTTCTCTCCGCCTGGCCCAGGGGTGGGCAGGAGGGCTGCGGGGAGGCCAGGTCAGCTGAGAGAGCTTAACGGCACCCCAAGGGCTTGGTGCGGCAGCCACGTGAAGCCCCGTGCACGGGGGGGAGGTGGGGGGGTCAGCCTGCTGCTGGCCTTTCCCCAGATTCCAGAGCAGGGGCCGGGGCACCCTGGATGCTGGGCCAGCCCTCTGAGGGACGCCCCGAACGCCGCCCATCAGGGAGGCGAAACTGCCCGAAAGTCCCCGCGCTGCCTTTGCTGCGAGGGGCTGCCGTCTGGGGGGGCTGTCCATTGGGCGGGGGGGCTGTCCATTGGGCAGCTGGGCTGCCGCGACAAAGGAGCCCCAGATTCGGGGGAGAGGGGCAGGAAAAGAAGCCTCAAGAAAGAAAAAAACTCTCTCTCTCGGGTCCTCAGACATCAAAGCTCCCACCCATGGCTGTGTCTTTAGTTTGTTTGAAGTAATTTTGCTGAAGTTGGAAAACTCTGAAGAAGCCCAAGGTCAGGTGCGCGGTGGGGGGCTGCCCGACTAAGCCCGCGACCTTAAATCGTGACTGAATGCGCGGGAACGTGGCGCCCCCCGCCCCAGCCCCACCACGTCTACCTGTGGAGGAAGGCGTGGTCTCAGGCAACAGCGAGGTGCACTCTGCCCGCTTCCCGAGGGGCTGCCGTGGACGGCCCGGCGCTCACCGCGGGGTCATGACCATCCCGGGCCACGCGCTGGCCTGATTCGGCGATGAACACGACTAGGGCCGCGGGCCGACTCCAGCGTGTCCGGGGCCAGGTGACGGCCTTCCCGACGCCCGCCACGAGCGCTGGGGCCCAGACACCCGTGTCGGCCCACCCTGGGGTGCCCCTGACCGCCGCGGGGTTTCCATGAGCCTGGGGGTCTGAGGGGCAGTCCTGGGGTGAACCTGTGAGTTCCTGCGCTGTTCAGGGCGGGAGTCGGGCATTTATTCTCTGCGGATGCTCAGAGCCTGAAATAAAAACTGCTTAGGTGGAGAGAAAAACGGAATTGTGAATCCAAGCACTGAACAGCCCAGAGTTCTCAAGAACTAAGGAAGCGTGCCCCAGGGTCAGGGCGGCCCGGCCGCCGGCCCCCCAGAACTTGCGGCTGCTCCCGGGGCCTCGCCACACCTGTCTCACGTAGGGGAGGGGCCTCGATGGCTTGGCCAGGACACAGGACAGGAGAGGAAGAGCCAGAAGTACAACCAGAGCCCCTGGGGTCCTGGCAGCCCCACCCCACCCATCCTGCCGCCTCCTTTCCTTGGGCTGAACCCCGCTTTCCAGCCAGAGATGCCTACACCCTGCTCCCGTGAGAGGCAGCTGGGCCCTCCCCGCCACTCGCCACCTCCCGCCCGCTCGCAGGCTGGGCCTGGGCACCGGCGGGTGAGAGATGCGGCTGGCGCGCCCCCGCACCCCGGGAAAGCCAGTGGCTGGAATGTGCTGGCTCTGAACGTGCTTCCTCGAGAACTGGGGGCCCTTGTTCTGCGGCTCTGCAGCCTCCCAGCGCCCCCCAGCGCGTGGGGGCGAGCACGTTGGCATGGAGATGCGAGCGGGGCCTGGGCCGCCCCGGACTTCTCTGCTGGAACCGTGCGTTTGGCCTTGTGAGCAATAGCAGTGGCGTTCGGGAGCGATGATAATTACGGCAATTTCCATCATTTGAGGAAGCTGACTTTCATGCGGCACAGTACGTCCCGCCGGAGATGCTGGGTCTGCAGGCCTCGCCTTGCGCTGACTTCAGACAGGCTTTGGGGTTCTGCCGGAGCCTTCTGCCGCTCCCGCTGACCGGATGGAGCCGGCAGCAAATGAGCTTCCCACCGAAACATGCGGGTGGGAAGCGCTAACGGGCTCTTAGGGGGCCTCCCCCCCCCCCCCCGGCTTGGTCGCCGCTGCTCGGCACACAGCACCTTGGGAGAATCTGACTGAAAAGGTGCCAAGCACAGTTTAAGAGTTTGTCTCTTCAGGATAAACCAGCCAGGGCCCCCAGATTACATCCATTGCTGTGGGCCAGGCCCAAGTCCAGTGAGAAGCAATTGGATGGGACAGAGCAAGATGGCAAACTCTTGAGGGCTGGAGAAAGGGAGAGACTGAGGGCGGGGACAGAGGAGAAAGCACTTTCCATCTAGCGCCTTCAGGGCAGGGCCTTGAGATTCCAGAGCCCAGCAGGAACCACAGAGGCAGAGCCAGGACCTGGCCCCCGAATGTGCAGAGGCTGAGGCCCACAGAGGCTGAGGCCCACAGAGGCTGAGGCCCACAGAGGCTGAGGCCCATGCACAGACTGAGGCCCACAGAGGCTGAGGCCCACAGAGTCTGAGGCCCACAGAGGCTGAGGCCCACGGAGGCTGAGGCCCACGCACAGACTGAGGCCCACAGAGGCTGAGCCCACAGAGTCTGA